TCCTATGATCTGAAACAAAAATATGTTTGATTTGTCATTCAAGATTTTGTAACTTCCTGGATTTTGCAGAAAGATAATACCTCAAGAGTGACATTTTCCACTACCTGGGAGGAAATATTTATGCTACTGTAGGTTTCATAGTCATCACATTGTACAAAGAAAATGAGCTCCTATCCAGAGATACCTTTCAATTCTGGCTGATGAATCTCAGTATTTTTCTTTTTATGGGGAGATTGCTTGGCAGGTCTGGGGAAGGTAGTGGAATTGAAACACAAATTGATTTCCTTCAGTAAAGTAAAAAAGGAGCTTCATAACTTCGTTCCAACTAGTGAGGCAAGTATCCCTGGGGAGCCATGAATTTCTTACAGATTTGTCACACTCAAGTAAAATAAGACCTGGTGGCTTTGTTCAAGTATGACTGGGGGGTGGGGGCAGTCTCAGAACATAATCCACCAGAACTGTGCCCGTTGCTGAAGATAACCAAGAGACACTTAACTGAGACAGTTGCATCCTGTCAAAATTGCTAGCTCCACCACACCATCAATTCCTCTGCCATCAGCCAACAAGAAGTTGGTTAAGGTAGGAGGTGACTGCAGCCTCTTGCTGGATGTAGGAGCCACTGGAGAGGCAACGTGGTGGAGATGCATGGAAAGGACAGGAGGCAATCGGTGGTCTGGGCTGGTCTGGGCTCAGTTATGAGTCCAGGACCTGGGGAAAGAGGGTTGGAGCAGCAGCAAGAGAAGCTGACTTGAGAGAGGCATGAAATATTGCTCGATAGTTTCCTTGCTTGAGAGCCACAGCTGTAAGTGGAGGCGACCTCATACCACAGTATGTAAGTGATAACTTTGCCTCAACACATGTGCAATTTGTTCCAGATAATTAAGGAGAGAGACTGAGCCAAGCCTTGTAAGCAAATGACTGAGATACCTGAATAACTTTGCAGTTGAAGTCAACACCTCCAGCCCCAGTAGGAACTCATCCCCTTTTGGTGCTTTTAAGTTCAAGTCAAAGCTCTTCAATGAGAGACTGTTAAATGGCAAGAAAGTGTCAAAGAATATCAGGGTCAGCTGACAACTTTTGTGAAAACTGTGAAGAAAAATCAGTGGATTTTATGCATAGTTTAGTATATTATATAGGTTGAAAATTAACTTCATTCTAAAATTTCCTTTGATTGACTTGAACCATAAAATGAGGGGGAAAAAGGTTCAGATTTCTATTAAGAATCTTTCTTAATATATACTTCATTTAATTGTGCATACTGACAATTACAGCTGTGTCATTCTTGGAAGAATTAATCCAAAGCTTTTCCACAACATGAAATATTTTTTAATTCTCTTTCATCTCTCTTTCGCCAGAGTGATTACTTTCCTGTATTTATTTGGTTTAATTATTTAACAAGAAAAGGCTGATGAGCATCCGAACACTGAGGAGCTAGAATACTGTTCTTCATCTGTCTCTACCTCTACAGCCATCATGGCTTGGATGGCATTATCAGGAGTTAAAATTTGTGGACAATTTTTGCAATATACACAGATCTATTGCCTCCAGGGTCAGTCATCCAGGAGCCCGAGGGAAAACTGACTTAGAAAGTCTTTCCACAAAGGTCAGCATTATTGGAATGGAAGAAGGAAGTGCGATACACAAGAGGCCAAAGATAATATTGGAAGCTGTGAAAGTGAACATTGAGAAGGGTAAATATGTTTCTTCTTTATACAAACAACCACATTCGCACATGAATGAGGAAATGGACACAACACCTGGTATTCACTATTCATATTGTTCTGATTTTGACATCTTGGCAAGAAGCAGAAAAAATCCAGCTTAGTTGACTGACCAATCAAACACTTCAATCAGTGAGGCAGGAGTAAGTGATGGATAGCAACTCTTCTCCAAACTCTCATAATAACTGTAAAGAGTGGGGAGGTAGGGGAACATGAAATTGTTCCCTAGACAGTTCAAGAGAAAAACCCATGTTAAACTGTCCAGGTAAATGAAGAACACTGGTTAACTAATTTTCACTACATTCTTCGCTAATTAATTATTTAGTACAAACTTCAAAGATCTAGATACTTCTAGAGATCTTAATTATTTGACAATCTCTATGGAGTAGGAATAGATAAATGTAATGTTCTGATTAATTTGAATTAATTAATCAATGCAAATACCATACAGCACATGTTTTCATCCTTCCCATTGGACAGGTAAGTCTCTTGCAGTAACACATTTTTGCTCTATAGGTCTTTTTCTGATGGCTTGCAGTGTTTCTCAACACGTTACTCTCTGAAATAAGCTCTGAGCTTTGAAAACATTTTCTTTTCTACTGACTATTGTTAGGAGACTTCTGCAGACATACTGACTCTGTGAAGTCCAAATGACAATCATCAAAAGGACACAGAAGATTCATCAGCTTTCACCTGGTACTATAAGAAAGTATCTAGACTGGAGTGAGGGTATCCATGGACTTCACAAAGAAATAGTAATTGAATCCATGTGTTAAGATGCAATGAGCCAGCTTAGTCTGATTTATTGGGTTACTTGTATCATGTGAAGCATGTCATTGCAAACCAATTTGCCTTTGTTTCATGCTGAGGATGCAAGTGGATCGGAACTGTCTACCAATGAGAGGTAAATCCACGGGATATACCAGTAGAAGCTTTCCTGAAAGTGGTGGGTCAGGAAGTGGGAAGGCAGGTTCTTGACAGAGACACCATTCACCAGGCACATGTATTTTAGAGCATGACTCTTTCCTCATCACCAAATCCAGTTTTCTTGAGTCCTGAATTTCTATAGTACTTGTGGATCAAGGAAGGTGGCAGGAAACAAGGAGATGATTCTGAGACACCAGCTAATTGGAACAGTTTAACAGTGTTTTCTACAGCAACATTCAACAAGAAAACCACTGCATCTGGTACTCCTACCTTGCATTCTGATAAAACTTTGGTACATCATAGAGTTACAGAAAAGTTTAGGTTGGAATGACCTTGAAGCTCATCCAGTTCCAACTCCCCTGCCATGGGCAGGGACACCTTCCACTAGACCAGGTTGCTCAAAGCCTCATCCAGCCTGGCCTTGGACACTTCCAGGGATGGGGCATCCACAGCTTCTCTGGGCAACCTGTCCCAGTGCCTCACCACCCTCTCCATGTAGAACTTCTTCCTGATACCTAATCTAAACCTCCCCACTTTCAATTTAAACCCCTTACCCTTTCTCCTGTCACTAAGGGACCTGTGGGACCTTGGAACAGAAAAGACTCAGCTCTGGACAGTACAGGAATGTTGCAGATTGGAGGCACCAACATCCCAGGTCTAGCATCTTTCTGCTTGTTTGATCACAATAATATTCTGAGCCTACAAGAAGCAGAAGAAGTACCATCAATATATTCCCTGAAGAATGGCTGGGTAACACAACCACAGCAGCAAGGCCTCAAAAGGAGCTGGGGCAGGACAGAAAGCAGGGTTGGGAAGACCTTAGGGGAAGGACCTCTTGTAGAGAGGTAGGAAAGCCAAGGTCCAGGAAGGTCTTCACTGTGCTGAGCAGGTTGCTGGATCCCTCCAAGCACAGACAATCTCTAGTCCACAAAACAAGACTAGATGAAGGGCAGGTCAGCCTCTTGGATTGCTCTGCCCTTCAAAGCTGGCTGTAGGCAGAGAGGAGGGGACGACCCCCTACAGTCCTTTTCTTTGTGTGTGGACAACAAAATTCCTTTCCACTCTCTGTGGGCCATGCCAATCCCTGCTTGTACAGTCCCTCCTCCACAGCATGGAGAGATGTCGAGAGAGCCTGCCCGGGGTCACCAGGAAAAGACAGCTTGTGGGAAGACATGGTACAGGCTGTAATGATTCATGTCAGAGCTGCCCACATCCTCCTTGTCAGGGCAGGGTGTTGCCTTAGATTACAGCGCACCTTCCTCACACGTCACTACTTTGTGTCTGGCTCACCCCACACATAGTACATTACACTGTTCCCAACAAACTTTCCTCTTTCATAGCTGGCTAGAAAACAGGAAAGTCTAAAGAAAAGCATTTCTCAATCAAGGTGACCTTTCCATTTGTAGCCACAGATTCTTCCCTTGTTATTGTTTTTATTTTGTTTTCACATGGGGATTGGAGACAGGTCACACTTCCTTATGGCAACTTATGTACATTCTCTCTCCCCCTCCCATTAGAGATGTAGAAATGTGTAAGAACAAGAGCAGAAATCACTGCTTGACAAAGTAATTTTTTACCAGAAGCCACGTTCTCCACCCTGATAATGCATTATCTGGGAGTTCAGACACATAGGTGTTATGTTTGCAAGTACATTGAAAGAAATATTGCTCAAAAATTTTTTTTCTTTCCTGCTATTTTTTAATTACATATTTACATAACAGATTCAATTATATTCATCCTCTATGCAAAATCTTATAGAGGGCCTACATTTTCTCAGAGAAACATGCAATTGCAAAGAACCATACCCCTCAAAATAAGGAATACAGTACAGGAATAATTCCTTATGTGCAGCCCCTGTGCATTTTTGCTAATGGCTCATTATTGAGATATTTTTACCACAAAGAAATATTTTCCTTAGACTGCTTTCCAGGGTATCTTGAGGTGTTACACAGGTGTTTTATCTGCATATCAGCAATGGCAAAAGAAATAATTTCTTCTTTCTCAAGTCACCTAAATCAGTCTTCTCAGACAGACATTCAACCAGGAGCTCAAATGAGATGCAATGTCCAGCTTTGAAGGTGGTAGCTTATTTGGGTGATAGGACGGAAGAAACAACTTTTCTGTAGACCTTTGGTGTATGTGGACTTATGGATTCTAAATCCAGGCTCCTTAATAAGTTCAGTTTATGGTAACACTGGGTTTTGCCTTATTACAGTACAGTCTTCAAACAAGATCTAGGCAGTGGCATAGTCAAGTAAGAGTTACCCTCTCCACAGGTTACAAAACCAAATCATGAAGCAGATGACCGGTGAAAATATCAGCACCTTCCGCCTGCAAACCTTGTGCTGCCTCTCACATTATCTGGTATGGGATGGGTTCCCGCAGTTTACGCTTCAAAAGAAATCCTCCGACAGTGAGAACAACAGCTACCAGCACCACAGCGGTAACAGCCAGAGGAACATAGGAGCTGGCAGCAGCTACTGGGCTCTGAGAGTCCCCTTTCACTTGGATGTCAGGGGCCAGCTCTGTGCACAAAAGAGAAAGAGAGAAGCTTACATTTGGTTTTCTGAGCTAGTTAATCTCAAAGGTGATTAGGCAAAGACAACTTGAATTAAAATGTTGCAAACTGGATCTGATCAGAAAGTAAATTGCCTTATTGCATAGTTTCACAAATGATCCTCTGGCCATGCCAAACAAGTGAAGATTATGGCAAGGAATTAAAGAGCAACTAGGTATTTGCAATGACTACGCTCTAAACCCATAAGATGCTGTTTTCTGATAGTGGAAACAGCAGCTATAGGACACTGGGGAACAAGATTTCCAAGGGGATCTACAGATTCATAGAATAATAGAATGGTTTAGGTTGGAAAGAACCTGAAACACCATCTCGATCCAAACCCCCTGCCATGGGCAGGGACACCTTCCCCTAGACCAGGCTGCTCAAAACGTGGTCTTGGATTGGTTGCTAATCAATTGGATTGGTTGCTAATAAATAAGAGACATGCCAATCAGGCACAGACAGCTTTGGAAAATTAGTATAAGTCCTGCAGGGAGACAAGTTACATCTCATCCCTCTTCCCAAAGAACTGAATAAATTGCCATTTGACATGTGCAGAACAAATAATGGGTCTAAAATAAGATAGAAAGGAAATAGGTTGCACACATTATAAAACAATTTTATAAAAATAATAATTAAAAAATTCCCTGTAAGAATTATAGTAGAGTTATGATTCAACCAGAAAAGGCACATTTCAGAGCTGTATTTCATATCTGAACTGACATGCAAACATAATGTAACATACAGAGTCTTATGTTATTTAGGTTATTTAAATTTACCAGCATTCCTGTTCGCAGCGTGAGCTTCCTGAAGCCGGACAGGTCCAACAACGACATTAATTTTTCCCTGGGAAGAACCTGTATTCCTCTTGAACCTACTAAAGCAGCCTTGATAGCAGCGGGAAGAGTAGTCATTGTACCTGCACACCACCAGCTCACACCGCAGGTAAACTGACGGGTATCGATTAACAAACGAAAAAGCATTAAATCCAAACCGAGCAACTTCTCTGCATGGTGAATAGTAAGAAAAGTAGGTAAAATCCTTAACACACCTGGAAAGATATAAAATTATCAGATTAGCTATTGTCAATAGAAACACTATTACACTATATCTGTGCAATATAATTCGAGTTCAGATAGAAACCCAGAAGGTAAGAGTATAAGAGAACGCAAAAGGATTTTTTAAAAAGTGGGTTTTTTTAGCAAGAAGAGAAATTAAGAGACAAAAATAAGTAAGTATCGCAGCGATTCCTACCACAATAATCTATACAGCACTGAAATTTCATAGCTCAACAAAGTTTATGTAAACATGAATAGCTGAAAAATAACTGGTGGTTCTGCTGCTTTCAGGTGAGGACCTGTTTTGCATTTGCAAACAGGATTACCTGTTTGTAAAGAGGCTCCTGCAGGTTGTTGCAGAAGCAGAAAGGGTTTTCTCTGCTCTGGAAGGACAAAACTAATACACATCTTTTGGGGGCAATAAAGATGCTCTTTAGTCCTTTGATTTTTGTAGAGTACCTTGCTTGAGAAATCTTGACACCTGACAGAGACCTCCAGATGTTTCTCAGAAAAGTTGCTAGATTAACTTGCCTGTCAATGAGCTTCATTTATTGACAGATTCTAGCCTTAGAAGCTACCTACCTTAGTTCCTAGTCATTATGGTTTAATTGAATCACCATGAAAAAGTGGTTAACTTTTAACCACTTTTTTTTTTATTGGGTGAGTGGTTAATCTCACCCAATAATTGACCCACAATCGTTACCCCAGAATATCTCAAAGTTGTCATTAATTACTTTTGTACCTCAACAAAAATTCCACTGTGCTCTTTTCCCTAAGAAAGACCCCAAGGATTTAAGTCCTCACAGTTTACTTTATACAGCAGTGATATCCCAGCACATCTGAGGTTTATAGGTGTATATTACTGATTTTTGATTCAGTAAATATATTTGCTTTTGACACAGTTCCTTGTCACATGAGTAAAAATTAACTGGAAAATGATCAGAATCTATTTGCCCCATCTCCCAGGTGAGTGTCCTTCTCACAGGAGTAGACTGCCCTTCTGTATCCTGCTTAATGAATATGGATCTTTATAGAGAACATAGAAAGAAACCCCAACAAGAGGAAAACCTTCTCCAGATTCACAAAAAGTGTACCAGGGAGAACATTCACCCAGCAGGCAGGAGGCACTGCGTCACTGCATTAGGCTGTCACAAGTCTGACTTGCAGCTTGGCAGTAGGTTACAACACTGCCAAGCTTACTGATGTGAACACTCTCCCAGGCAGCAGAGCGATTCAAATCCCAGCAAGGACAAAAGGGAAAGAAGTTAGCACGAGCCTTTCATTCCTGGAACAAAATGGGATAATTCTATGCTTCGAGGTCGTTGTCAGTTTTGCTTTCCTTACCAGAGTCCACAGCTTTTCCATTTCAAATCAAAAGACACATTTTGTATCAAATTAAGCAAAATGATTTAGGTTTTCAGAATAGGGAGAAAAGGCTAAGGAATTTCCTTTCTTTCTGAACTGACTGTTTTGTATCCTAGTTATGATGCTGCACACAACTCTTTGCAAGATGCTAATTCTGCTGTATAGAAAACATAGTGCCATTGACATTCCTACGTTTCATGCATCTATTTCAGAAACAAATTCAGACCTCAGTTTCTACACTGCCTCCTTGAGTGAAATCTTCATGCTTGGCTGCAACTTCTGAATGGCATTTCTTTCTCGTATTATATTTTATTCAGGCTTTGCCAAAAAAATCTTTCTTAGAAATATACTTGTATTGAGAATTGCAACCAATGTACACTGGCCCTAAATCATCTCTTTCATAAATGAAGCTCTTTCGGAACTATGCATAGAGAGAGTTTCAAAATAATTATTTAGAAATTTCTTACCCACTTCTGATCAATTCATAGGTCAGTGTTTGAAAATCGCTAGGATCAGGTGATGCCACACAGGTGTCTACAAACACCACCAGATTTGGGTCAGAGCTGTGAAGAGAAGCTTGAAGGAACAAGTTCTGATTCGGGTGAACATAGTATGGAAAGTCATGCACTGGCCACAGGAAAGATGAGGAATTGTAGAATGTCAGGTTCACGTCGTATCTGCCGTACTGGGTTTCACTGACAGTGATGTCATCGACAGTGTACATTACTTGCACCCAGGTTTTCTGGAGCATTTTGCAGTTGATGTGCAAACGAAGGTCGTTTTGCCTCTTGATGATGTAACCCGAAGCAGCTGCTCTTATCACATTGGAGTAGGTGATTGTTTCATTGTTCCCCTATTTGACACATTAGATGAGTAAAAAATTAGCGCATATAGTCATGTTCTCATTTTGTAGTACAAAATTCTGTACATGCTAGATCCTAGTACACTCAAAAATTCTAAGCATGCTGGATGGGGTTGTACACTTAACCCTCTCCTATAATTCTTCACTAGAACATCACACTGAAATAGACACAGGGATTACCTAAACCCTGAGAAGGACAAGCAGGAATTTTTAATAAACCATAGCCTCCAGACACACATGCTTCTTTTCTGTGTTCTGAATAACTGTGGGCTGCAACACCCTTTGCGATTCAGGACAATTTTCCAAATGCCTGTTGTTTCCACACCCAGTCTTGGAGAGTTCTGCAAAATATTTTGACACCGACCTGTCTACTTGTACCACAGCCATTGTACGGTACATTGAATATAACCTCAGTCGATGTAATTGTTGGTCTACAATAAGGGTCAGACAAGCTGATGTTCCACGCTGAGTAGCCCTGGGACTGGAGATAGCGTCTGTCTACAACTGCATGCATGTAGGTTGACAAGCACAGAAGGGCTAGGGAAGAAAATATGAATTATTAGTCATTTCAGGTACCTGATAATGCTCACATGTTGCAAAGTCAACAAATACAATTGCTGCTGCCATTTAGGAGAGAATTCATAAGCCAAACCACTTATTTTTTCACATTAGACTATATATGAATAAGCAATAGTCTCTCACAAACTTCAGCTGTCCTTCAGTTACCCTCCTGAGAAAAATATGTAGGTTAAAACAGGCTTTTGCTGAGACCTTGGGTCTGTGTCATCACTTACACAAAAATGTTAGGGAGTGGGATTTTTTCCTGAATAAGAATCCAAAAGGTACTGTGGAAGGTGTAGAGTTAAAGAGGCACACTGGCTTGCAGAAGCACTGCTTGGATGGGAGAGGATCCTGAAACCATCACCATGATTGTTCACTGAGTCCATGACATGAAAACAATGACCCCAGGGACTCTGGCCTTTGGTAGAGAGAGGGGATGACAGGGACCTACTGGCAACACACAGCCTCTAGAAAGACAGGTACAAAGACAATGGAGCCAAATGTGATGGCCACTGTTTCTGCCTGGGGAGGTTGTGAGTGCACATTAGATAAACGTTCCCACTGGGACCGCAGGACAGTACTGGAACAGAGAAGTGGCTTTGAAGATTTCATCCTTCAAATGTTTCCAGAGACTCAGCTGGACAAATTCATCATGGACCTAACCCGGTGTTGGCAACAGCTCTGCTTTGAACAGTTGGACTAAGAATCCTCCACAGGTCCTTTCTAACCAAGTTGTCTATGACTCTATGAAAATCTGTCTACAAAGGTAGAAAAAAAATATGTGAAGAATGATGTGGCAACAAGAAATATGAATTTATGCTGGCCACCCTACAAAACATCTAAAGGCAATTAATTTGTTACTGTAAGATTTTTTTAAATTAAAAAATAATTATTGTCTGAAAGTTATCAGTCAATGACCAGCTGTGAAATTCAAGTAGGAATGTAATTTATGTGGGATTTCTTCAACAATATTATTTAGCAAATAAAATCAGGGTGTAAAAGCTTCTGAGCAGAGAAAACGTTATAAACAGAATGGAAACGTACTCGTATTGTGGTCTGCTGGAAAGGAATGATACTCTGCATGAAACCCTGTATCGGAGTATCTGGAGTCACTGTGAAATCTGACAGACATAAAGTTTGAGGATGAGGTGTACATGAGATCAGAACGAGAACAAATCCTTCCGAGCAGAGGAGAAGTATTGGGTGGCCCATCATAGATCTCAATGTAATCATTCTGGCATCCACCTTGGAACCTGAGGAAGAAACATGAATATATAATAAAAAGCATTTGGTAAACTTCAAGTTTTAAGTGCTGAACAAAAAATAAACTCAGACACTGCACTCACACACAGTTATAATGCAATTATAAGCATGGAAAATATGCTTGGGAACTGTGATTGTAGTTGAATTTGGGACCCATTTATTAAGCAAGCAGGAAGTGCTTTACTTACCGAATACTTCCAAAAGTAAGCATAATGCGGAAATTATTCATTACTTGTATTTGCCACAAACAATCTGTATTATGAGGATAATTCAAAGGATAAGGACTCTGAAGTGTTCCGGAGAAATTAAAAAGTAAGCCACCACAAATAAATTCTTTGTCTGGGGAAAAAAAAAAACAACAACAACAACAAAGAGGCCTAGATTAGATTAATTTATATTTAATTCAGAACAAATAAAAATATATTTTATGTATCAAAACCATAGCAACAGAACAATAAATCTCCAGACAATGCGAACAGATGTGCTCTTCTCACTCAGGCCACAAGTGTGATGATCTCTTTGGAGAAATGTGACTCTACATTGCTATTTTAGATACGGTAACATCAAGGCAAATATATGTATGAGAGAAAACAAGAAGTTCTGGCCTAAAAGATATAAAATGTAGAGAAGAAAGAAAAGATTTCCAACAAAATAAACGCAGCCTGAAAAAAACAGTGACAGAATCAGAGAGAGAGAGGACCAGTATATAGGACTTGAAGAGCTAGTACCGATACAGAATACTTCCAAAAATATTACAATATGTAATAGATATAACCCGAAATTATAAAATAAAAACTAATACACCTCAGAAGCAACATATCAGAAAGATGAAAAAAGAAGACACACCTGGAGTAGTTGACCGTGGAGTGGGAACAGTTGTGTTGACGGCATCTGATAAGGGAGTAAGACAAAGAAGGGAGTGAGCACATTGTGGAAGAAAGAACAAGGCCAGGTTTTCTACATCACTAGCAATGCCGGTGTCACCCTGTCATGGAGGCAGTCAAGATCTTGGAAGTCTCTGTGAGGTGGTCTTCAGGGCCGGAGTAACAAAACCCAAAAGCTTAAAACACATTTGGCAAGCATGCATTACGGCAAACATTAAGGGACATTTTTTGAAAGCGGGACAAAATGTGG